CAGGCAGGTTGCCCATGTGCATGAATATGCCCAAGTGGTTCATCCGAATAGTCCAAGAATCTTCAGCACCTTCCTAGACCAAACTTTAGCCTCCAGTACTTGCCCATGTTCAGCCTGCAATCAGACTGAACCCACTTCACTTAAAACCATGCATTTGTGCAAGTGTTAAGTATAATTTCATAGTAACTTGCACTTGTTGGAAACAAATTGTCTTAACTTGAAGGTTTTGAATTGTATTTGCTGTGCTAGTAGCAAGAAAAATCTATCCTTTAGCTTATAAAATGATCAAATTTGATCTGTAAGCTACTGAGAGAGAATGACCTTGGCAACAGTGCTTTTTTGAGGGTCACTCCTCTGATTAAAAACACACTTTAAGAGGCAATAATATGAGAAAACACAGGACAGTTAACTACTCAAGGTTAAATTTTCCTAGAAAGTCTTTTAATGCCTAGTTACAGACAATAAAGTACACAGAAGAAATAGAAACATTTACAAAGATACATCTATTCCAACTGAAAATGATAGATTTATATTACCTAATTATTCATCTGAACATAATGATTCTCAGTTGCCTATGCAACAGGTTATAAGACTTAAAGAAAATGAGGAGAGAGTTTTGCAAGTGTAGAAGATAACATGAGAAGAGCGCTCCCTTTTTCTTGCTATTTTGTGTGTTCTCCTATTTCATTTCTCTTTTAAGAGCTGTATAGTTGGTGTTTGAGAATGTCTCTTAAAAGCTGCATAGACACCTGTTTTCAAGGAACAGAAATTAATGCCAGGTGGAAACTTCCTGAAATTCTACCAAATCCAGATTTTCCTGTGTGTTAAACCATAAGCTTTTTTCCCCCCAACCCCCACAAATTCCTTGTTGGTGTTTGGTTTTCCCTCTGTAGCTTCTGGTCCTCCTAAGAATGAGAAGCCTATTTTTTAGCTGTTTGGAATGCGAAAATGCATTTTTCTCCTCTCAATTATTTTTAATGCATGTGAGGAAAAAACCCCAGAAGTTGGTGAATATTTATTCAGGCTGCTTTGGCAGCATTTCATTATTTAAGACATAAATCAAATTCGGAACTTCCTTTTTTCCTGGGGGACAAATTGTTTATCTGAATTTGAATGTGCTTGTGAATCAGTCATAGGGATAGTACTTGTGCTATTGCTGTGTAATAGCAATTATTTGCATTGTTTAACATTGCTTTGCTCTATAGCATTAAGGTAGTCAGGCTGCACACAGATGCTGGAGTACATCTGCAGATCACTGCAGGATCAGATCTACGGACCTTAGTCCTCCAAACAGTTGCGTGCATGTTTATCTATCAGTACACATTCCACTAGCATCAGAAGAACTCTTCCAGCAGGTAAAGTTAAAAAGCACATGACTGGTTTGTGGGCTCTGAGCCTAAGATTATTCCCAAGGCAAAAGCCCATTGAAGGACCAGAGCTGCAAGACTTGATCACAAAGAAATGCTTAGAAGGAGATAACTAAATAATTTTGGGACCTGGCCACTAGTTCATACTATCTCCCCATTTGCCTCTGTGGCTCTTAGTTAATGTTTTGACATTTATGACACTTTTGTACAGGTATAGTGGGTTGCAGCATCACACCCTCTGAAATGGACAATGCATTCCTTGTGTCCAGAAATCTCATCCTGCATTAACAGCTTTGGGAATGGAAAGAGAAGAGGTTCATTTCTTTACTAGTAGCTGCCAAAGATATTTAAGGACACACAAAGGCGAATGTTTCGCAACAGAGTACACAGTTATCTGTTTTGCAAACAGAATTTAGACTTACTTTTTATACTTCTGAGCCTGACAGTGTATAGTGCTTTCATTCACACACAGTGAGCATTGTCTTTTACCATATTATTAGCATCCTAAACTCAGTTTCAGAGGTTTATAACCCAACAGTAGGTTTAGACTCAGTAAATTCAGCCCAAGAGCACTATTTTTCAGTGTAAAAGACATCTTTAGTTACCACAGTATCAAGCAAAGCGGACCTTGCTTATTTCAGGCTTTTTTAAAGGTCTTAGATTACAAATTTTAAAAAAAAAAAACTCTTGAAAAAATGAATTGCTACAGAGTTTCATTCTGATGTTCCTCAGATTGCTAGCTTCCTTTGACATAATTGGAAAAAAACTGAAAAGGCTGAGCGATAGGCATTTAAAGTCAGCTCCTGAGAAATCATAATGGACCATATTCCATATATTCCTGTGCAAATCTCACTGACATCAGTGGATGCGTTCTGTACACATCCTATTTTTAAAATCCTGCATGCATAATCACCGTTAGCATTGTTACAGTATCTGCCATGGATGGGTGCAAGTCTGAATGCAGATTTGTACTATCGGCCGTAATGGTTGTCTCCTGAGAGAAATTCAGAAAGCTGATCATAAGCTATTCTGGACTTCTAGGTAACTAATCCCATCTCACACATACACTCTCAGGTGCCTTTGTTAAATACAATCAAACACTTCAGCATACACATTTGTATGACAGACACTGTTACAGTCTGTTGGATAAATTATATGCATTTTATAACATTCACTTACAGAGATGTATAGGTTTGTACATAATATAGTAACAGCAAAATAATGTTCAACTTATGATATAAGGTGACATCAGCCCAGAAAATGTCAATGCCACATACATTGTACTAGATGTTAGATGTTTTCCTTTCTTTCATAAAACTGTGTATGAAAGAGAAATTTTAATTTCAGTTGCTTGGGAATGGCACATATGTATTACCGCCTGATCATTTTTCGAGCGTGAGATATTGTGTGTTTAATTAACATTACTTCTGTGTGTTTAGGTAATTACCATTAGAACACATGAGGACATATTGTACTTATTGCCTGTGCTAGAGCATAATGTGCTGGACTACAACAACTACACTTGTTAGGCTGATTTTAGCATTTCTTCACACAGCAGGAAGCACCCATGCTGTGGTTTCTTAATGTACTCTTTAACTACTGCACTGTAGAGTACTGTACAATAAAAATAATAATTAATTATGATCCTCATCTTAGCAGTACTGCTGCTATCCCAGTGATCCTGGTTGCTGTTTCAGGGTTCTACTAGACTGTGAAACTATTCACTAGCCACTATCTTTCTTTTCAGAGTTTTATTTCTCAGACGATATTACCGAACAGAGATGAATTTTTTGAGGACAGGTTTGTTGCATGGATTGTGATGGCTTCGCATTTGTTCAGGTCTCCAAGGACCAGCACCAATAAATGTGAGAGAGACAACAGCAGAATGGCATACTTTCCCATTTCCACCAGGATGAAAAAAAATACTCTAAATTAAGTCTAACCTTAAATGTATAATCTGTCCTTGGGAGCAAAAAAAAAAAAAAAAAAAGGATATAGCATCTTCAAGCTCTTGGCATCCCTTACGAGAAAAAATTGGTTCTAAGGGTCTCTGATCTTGTGTTTTAGTAAAATAGAACTGCACGGCTGACTGACAGTTCTGATCTAAAGCATTTACGTTTAAGTTTTGATCTCTCTGCTTTTGATTAAAACTAATGAGCTCATTTAATTCAAAATGGGAATCTCTGATAAGAGAAATAAGGTTGATGTGATTGGATTAGAGGGGCAAATTAAACTCTTAGAGCAGAAGTTTGTGCTTATATAGTGTATTAAAAAGCTGTTGGCGTATTATGGCGTGTTAGATGATGAGAAAAATTTCATAGTAATTCATATTTAATCAGAAGAAATGAAAGTACTAAATATAACATGGCTCTGCTTTTCCCTCGAGTGATAAAGAGCTGTACATTTAAAATGACATCGAATTCATGCTCTCTAACACAAAAAAATCTTAAGCGAGAAACTAAAGAAAGGGGCACTGTTGTCAGTTATTTCATCACAATAGAGTTGAAATGTCACAAATACAAGACAATTCAATATAATCCGTAGCTCACAAACAAGTTTTTGTGTTTCTGTTGACTATATAACAAATGCTTTTGAAATACGTGAATACTTTCTACTAGTAGTTTGGTCAGTTCTCCAAAACAACAGCAGAATAATTTCAAAGTAACTTTTATATTCAGTGTTAATTTCTCATTGAAACTGAAAGTTAGTTAATCTCCAATAATGCTCGCTTATTGTAAGCTGCTCCAGAATTTTCACATGAACAGTATTTTGGGGAGAGGTTGGTTATCAGGGCTAAAAATAGCAATAATAAAGATTGTGTAAAGAATATCTCGGTGCTGACTAGGTTTCTACCCACGATTTTATCACAGTTCACACTAGGAGTATTCATTTACTATTTTAAGTGGTTGAAGTTGAGGGAGTGAGAGGCACAGGTGAGAGCTATTATTTCAAACAGGAAATATCTCTTCAATTGGACTACAAAGACATTTCATTAGTGACAAATTAGTCACCAATAATTAACAACTGTGATCATGATAACAACAACAACAACAATAATAATAATGTGTCATTTAGTTGAGCATTTTTGCCTTCAGGCTGTTCAGTGCTTTATTGATAATAATTGACCCTCAGTAATGGGGAAACCAAGGCACTCAAAACCAGCAGTGACTCACCCTAGGTATCACTGCAAGAGAGGAGTGGAGGCTAGGGAATAAAAGCCTGCGGAATTAGCAGCCTATTTCAGCAGGCAGAATTGCTACCTCAGAGAGACTTTGCCTTTCACAAAATACTGAAGAACTCCCCAGTTTTTAAACCAGCATGTATTTTAAAACCCTAACAAAATAACTCCCATCATAACAAAATTGTGCAAGAAAGAGTTAATGAGGCAAATCTCTGTTAAAAATTCTATGGGAAAAATAACTTGAAAATGAGACTTACTGAGTATACATATATTTTTCAAATTTTTTTTTTTTGCTAAGTAAACATTTTCTAAACGAGGTAAATTGATTACAACACTCTTAGCATCCATCAGTCATTTATTTTTAGTGAGTTCAAGGATTGCACCTGAAAAATAGCTTAGAGGGGATGTATAAAATCTAAATTATGTGTATATGTATTTTTTCTATTCCCTAGTGGAATCTACAAGCCCCAGTTTACTAACCACTGACAACACTCTAGAGCGCTCTTTTTTCATCCGAATGAAATCTACACTGACCAAGCGAGGAGTGCACATCAAATCGTCAGGATACAAGGTAAGGGTTGCACTGTAGCATGAAATAGTGACATCTTTAAATTATGTTCATTCATGTTCCAGGGACACATTAATAGACAGAGAAAGGAGCTATTTCATTTGCATATGTCTCATTCCTTTTGTTAAAGAATCATTAATAGAATATTTCCAGCCTGAGGTTTGGCTTTGGTACTACACCTTCATTAAATTGACCCTTATTACAATAAACATTGATGATAACAGCACGATAGCTTTCAAAAGAGCAACACTTCCAGAGTAAAGGTATATTCTACCAATGAAGGTGTGTCAGAGTAACATGACTTTTTCCATAGTGGAAAATTACTGCTCATTTTGTTAGACTTTGTGTTATGTCTTTCCCAGAGAGGCAGGATTTCTTCATGCAGACAGTATGTTAGAGCTATTTAATTTTGCTGCTGTTCTGGCTGAAGGAAACAACAAGCCACAATGAGTACTTTTCCACCATTTTTCTTTCATTGTCTGTCTGAGGGGCATCTGCTGCTAGGGATCATATTTGCTGGATTTCAGACTCTTTTAAGATATGAAAGTCTCTTGTTCCTTATCAGCTGTAATCTCATTTTTCTTCAGTCATATATCGCTCATAGTGCCTGTAGCTATCAGTGGCTTTGCAGTATACTAAAACTAGAAGGAATAGCACATTTTTAACATTGTCAACTTGTGGAATGAAATATGTCATCCATTAAGTATTATACAAGATAAAAGAGTGGTGCGAGAAAGTAAGTCTGAGAATGCATGTGTATTTAAAGAAGTTGCTTGTCAATGTTCATTGGAAAACTTTCACAAGCAATTTTTTTCAGTTTTCAGGAGAAGATTTAGAGGAGCTTTGAATTAAAATTCCACAACTCACTTTTACCCAAAAATTGTCTCTCTGTGAATATAGCATCGAGGTAGTCTGCCTGAGTGGTAAAAATCTGGTAGAAATGTCTTCTTTATAGCAAATGACGGAGTCCTTCTGTTGGATGACTTCTCGGTCCAGATGATTAAAGTAGTTGCTAATGGAAGTTTAGGTCCAAATCAGGGATTTCTTAAGGCACCACAGGTTTTGATCTTTGTACTGCTTAATTGTCAACACCTGAAAGAATGCACTCAGTCGTTGTTTGTGCTGACCGCTTTACAGGTCTCAGAAGGTATCAAGACAGAGAAGTGTACTGGCAGTCTCAGGAGGAGGAAGGCGAATGAATGAATGAATGATCAGGTCATTGAAATTATAGTAATTTTTATGATTAGACATGGTCCAACCAGGCTAGGTCAAAGTTAGATTGGCAGAGAACTTGCTTTGCTGGATATTTTTCCTGCAATAATAATGGGAAAAAATAGAGAATTCATCTGTGGATTTTGTAGTCTGACATTTTTTTGCCAGATGTAGGTGAGAACAAAAGGTAGACATGTGAGTGACTTTGTCATTCTCTCTTCTTGGACTCCTGACAATCTAATGTTTGTCCAGCACCAGAATAGGACATATCTAGAATGGGCGGGCTTCAGAAGGTGGGGTTTTTACTCATTACAATACAGCTTTTGACGTTCACAGCGGACCCTTTACTCAAAAGAAAGACGCTGTAATGTCTATCATAAAAATACAATTTAATTTCTCTTTTAGACCTGCTGATGCCTCAGAGAAACACTGAAAACCGTAACTGAGATGTCACAGGTAGAGCAGAATGAATTTTGAAAGATCAGATATAATTTTTTTAGCCTGCTTTTCCTAGATACTAAGAATGAGTAAAAAGTATGGTAGTAGACAAAGCTGTCTGTAAATAAAACATTTGGTTTTTTCCAAATTTTTCCAAGAGGCATCAGCAAGTCAGCATGAGTAAAAATGCATAAACAGTGTGCAAGTCCTAGGCAGGTATAAATAGAGAGGTATAGTTCTGCTGCTTTTTGATGTTTTCAGGGATTTTGTAACTGACAGCATTTGGCTGAATTCAGCTGTGTCCAGCCATATTAATTATACTTTGACAGTTTTTTAAAAGCATGGTTATTGGCACTCTATAGAATAGATAATTATCCACAGCCTCAGCAAGCCCCAGAAAAATTGTGTATTCATTTTAGAAGAGTTGGATCACGTGAATGTCTTTTTGACCGAGTGTTAAGAACTGCTTTGCTTAAACATCACATTCTCAGCATAATAAACCTCAACTGCTATAGTGAATGTTGCTCACACTTTCAGGAATGTTACCAATTTATTCATTGATTTCTAGAGGTCCAATATTAGAACAAACTTAAAGCTTCTAGAATTTGTTCAGGTATGTATTTTATTAAAATTAAGAAAGATCCACGAGCCTTATGGATGTACAGCTATACGGAAGTATCAAAGGGAAGAATAGTTACGTCATAATGACAAAACTCATGGGAATAGCTGGCCAAGTTCTGCGTCAGAGGTCCCTAGAAGACCTCCAACACTTAATCAGGAAACACTGCGCCAGCTGGGGTCATGTGCAGAAGAGTTCCTGCGGGAAATCCTGGTGGAGAAGGCTGACTCAGGAGCAGCTATCTCACACCTTCAGAATACCAGAGAGCACTGATTTTTCCCTCTGCAAAAAGCAAGAGCTCCTGGCTAACAGCTTCCCTTGAGCTCTTGTGTCATTGTGGGTGGGTAACCCTCCTGAATCAGCATACTAACATTCATCAGGAGCAGTCTGCTGCAAAGTCCGTGTCTTATGTGAGTCAGGTTTTAGCTCTGTCAAAGGTATTCAGCTCCCTGTGGATTCAATCCTCCAGCAGTGACAAAATTTTTCATCTTTGTGAAGTGGTTGTGCCTCATTCCAAACTCTTACTGAGCTCAGAACCACATCTCCATTTTTCCTCTGCTTTGAGGACTGCTGATGAATGTTTTCTTTAGATAGCAAATGATTGAGGTGGTCCACAAGATGCTTAGCCAATTTTCAGAATGAATGAACCCTGCCTCAGGAAAATCACATAAAATTGAAAACAGTCAGAGAATGAGATTGATTAATCATTTGGGTTGATCTAGTCAGGACTAATTTTCTATCAAAGGAGATGTTGGAACAAAAATCACACTGATAAACGTAGACATATGTATACCGCAAAGAGACCCTGTTCCAGACTGTTCTGACGTGAGATGAACCCTGTTTATAGTCCCTTCCTGGACTGATTTAGTTAGTCCTGAATTATATGTAAAGATGGAGGTAATTGCTTTTTTTTCCATGAATTATATTACCTTAAAAGTCTGAAATGGGAAAGTGGTTACATGATTATTCCTCCCTTCTCCTTTTCTTTCCTTGTTCCCCAGCACCTTCATTGAATTGGATTTCCCCATTCTTAATATTCTTAGGCTCAAAGCTTACAGAAAAAGAGTTTACAGAGTGCTAGAAAGCCATTCAGTTTTCAATGAGTAAATCTACAATCTTAAAAAAAAAAAGTCACATAAAATGTAGTCAGCTGCTGAAACACATTGAAAACAAATAAAAAGAAAAAAAAAGATAATTCCATTCACTGCAAAACTCAGAATGAATTACCATTACAGTTGCTGTCAAAGATACACGATGCAGATACTTAGTGCTTTTCTCTGCCGAAAATGTACCACACCTTCCTTTTTTCATTTTTTTTCATCAATAAAAGATAGTTTTGTATTTAATTTGGATTTTTGTTCTCTCCATTTTATCTCCTTTTTCATTTGTTTTCCTCCATTTGAGGGTCACAATTGTGTCCACCTAACAGTTATCCTACCTTCAGTGTTTCTACTGTCCGACTTGCTCAGGCATATGTCAAAGCTAATTTTAATTGAAAACTACTCTGTTCAAGTCCAGTGATACCTTTCCTACTCCCCTGTATTATCCTGTTACTGTTTTGTCATGTTTACTTTCATGTCAGATTGTGCTGGGATTTTTTTGTTCAAACCTTTAGGGCCTGATACTGGTCTCTTGACCAGTAATTAATGCATTACTAATGGGACGAAGAAGTAGTCAAAGCATTGAACACCATCAGAGCCAGTAGTTGCCAGTAGTTTCCTGTTCATCAGCTCATCAGGTGTTTTTGTATATATCTGTTCATATTCCTCTACTGTTTTATGGAGTAGCCCTCTCATGATAAGCTATTACAGAGGTTGATGAGCAAATATGAGGAGATTCCGTTGTACTTTTACTGTAACTGTGGCAATCTCTCTATTTGGTATAACTAACATCTGTTGCCTCTCTGTGTCCCAAGAAGCTGGCAATCAACTTTCTTGGTGATCCATCAGCAGAGTTAAGGGCATCTTAAAAATCCTTCAAGCTGTACCTTCCTACTTGGAGTGGTACTTTCGATCTGCTGTGCTACCTGGATGCCTGCTTTGGCCCATTCAGTGTCAACAAGAAACAATCTCCATGTCATTAAAACATCGAAGTCATTGAGGTTACATGGCAATGAGTCTACTGCAAACTCTCCAGTAACTGGAAGTAAATATAGCAGCTGTCATGCTCAGAGCAAAACCTTATTTGCAACCTTAGACTTTTGAGCCTGTATTATTGAGAAAAGAAATATTTCCTAGGTTATTCAGATATTTCTGCCTCGAAGTGAGGCCTTGGTGTCTTTGAAAAGTGCCTTGGTATTATGGAAAAGCGTATACATAGTCTTTGGAGATGAATGAAATGGACTTTGTTTCAGCTGTTTGTATATGACTTTCAGGAGTTCTGAAGTCCTTTAATATGGGACAGAAGTGTTAGCACTGGATACAAGTGTAAGCCCTGCATTGCTGCTTTACAGAATCACAGCTCTTATCAATGCCAAGAGCGGGTATTTACACCTGTTTTTCTCTCTGGTGTTCTTCAAACGCAAGAGAATTGTGGAAAGTAAGCAAGCTTAAAAAACTGACCAAATTGCAATGAAGGGAGCAAAGTTATCATTACTTATTAAGTCACAGAGGACTGTTAAACCTAACAGCATAATCTGAAGTACCAGTGGAGATACTGCATTAAAAAAAAGTAATGTGGTATATAAAAAATTTGGTTTAGCAAGTTCAGTTTAGACATTTTGATGTTTTGTTGC